AGCTAAAAAAGTGTTTATGTATTTAAATAACACTTTTTAAAACAGCTTTTTAGATAGGAAAAAGTAAAACTTTCGGAAAATCCTAGTTTTTTAGCTATTTTACTTCTGAAAAAGCAGATTTTCTCATCCAAACACTTTTTAAAATCAGTTTTTCCTAAAAGCCATAAGCTAATAAACACGTTTCTTAAAAATCACTTTTGAGATAAAAAAAAAACTAACCCAAACATACCCTAAATCGATTTTTAACTCATTATTTTTTACTAGATTTACGTGAGGAGGTCCAACTTAAGCTTAAGGTCAAATTCCCTTTTTCAGGAGTTTTTAGGTGTAGTGAGGATAGGAAAGAGGCAGGGTGAAAGAAAAGATACAAAGCCGGCTAAGACCCGGCGTACAAAGAGATGTATAGGAAATTATATATATATATATATATATATATATATATATATATATATATATATATATATATATATATATATTAAATCCAAATGAGCTTAGGAATAGTACCTTTTTAGGCTTTAGGTTTTTGCCACAAAAGTTTACTGAATTTGACACTTTTAGTCCTAAAGTCAAAATTTTTACATTTTTGCCTTTTAATTAAGTTTTTCTGCCTTAAGGTTTTTGCCACAAATCTTTAATGACTTTGACACCTTTAGTCCTTGCAGTCAAAGGTTTTACATTTTGGTGTTTTTGCTACAAATCTTTAATGAATTTGACACTTTTCGTCCTTGTAGTCAAAACTTTTACATTTTGAAATAAAAAACACAGAAAACTTCCTTTAAAATTTTGCCACCATATTTTCCCAACTTTGACAACTTTAACATAATTGCCACAACATTTTTGGATTTTCTCCACCAATGTCCCTTCTTTTCGTTGTACACTTTTGACATCTAATTTTAGGGGTTGTCGACTTTCTCCCCTATTTATGGTGATTTACAATTTCAGCACATATTTTTTAAAGTTGGCCAATTTTTTCCATATTACCCCAAAAGCGGCGTAGCCGCGGATTCTTTACTAGTTGTACATAAAAATTAAAAGGAGAGAAAGAAATCTTCAAGTTAGCAAAAACCACATAGAGAATATAAAGGGACCTAGGAAACATATTATTCATTAAGGATGACATTGGTCGAGTTTTTGTGAAAGATTAGGATCGGGTTCAACTTAACTAGGGAAAAAAATTCATTAATAGGAACCGGACCGGGTACACGCAGCGGAAACACACTATCACACACACACACAAACTCACGAAAATAAAGCAAGAAGAACACAAGGATTTTACGTGGTTCGGATTCGGTGCAAATCCTACGTCCACGGGCTGCAACTAGAGAATTTTATTAAAACTCACAAGATTACAATTGGCTTGACACTCTACACTTGATGTTCTCTCAAGTTTTTGCACACCAAATATGCAAAACATACATGCATATATATAGGTGAATGTTTGCCATGTGAAAACAGAAAGCGTTGTAACCAATTTAAAGTCTACCAACTTCAAGTTTGAACATGTTGAATGCACCACTTATTTTCCAACTTTCAGTTTGAATTTGATTCTTTTATTTCACATGCATAGCCACATGTTTTCAACCTTTAATATTTTACCTAACAATCTCCCACTTGAAAGTTTGAACAACATGGTCCGTCTCTGTCATCCAACTCCAGTAATCTTAAAACAACCAAGTCTTCCAAGCCTCCAGTTCCTAAGAACAAGCTAAACTTAGTCCCATTTCTCTAATTGCAGCCGCCCCTCATCTTCAAGTACTAGAAGGGCCAGTTGAAGCTCCCACTAGCTCCAACTCAGTCGTGGCTAATCCCACCACCGACTCATCCTCTGTCTCAACCGGTTTGGACACTCCACCAGATCCAGAGATACACCGAGGACCACTAACACTCTCCAATCTTTGCAAACTTCCAACAGGAGAGAATTTTTCAGTCTTAGTCTTCAAAACCCAACGGCTCTTTGTAACTGTACCCGAAACACGTCCCGTGCTCCCACTGTCACAGAATCCCCTGAATAGTTTAGACTTTCGAACTCGTTCAGCTAACATCTCTTTGGCTCCAAAATTCATGTTTGCAAAATGAACTCTCTTAGCCGTAGATTTAGCGAACCAGATTTTGTCTTGTTTAACAGGGACGGTCATACTTCCCTCAGCAGGTACCTCAACCATATACAATGACCCACACTTCATACCACGAGCAATCACCAGATCACCATTGACCACCCTCCATTTACCACCACCAAACCTTACTTCCAGTCCTTGTTTATCCAGCTGACCAACAGAAATCAATTTTTTCTTCAGCTCCGGAATAACCCTGACATTCTTCAGGCTCCATGTAGTTCCCAATGAAGTAACTAGATCAATATCTCCCATGCCCGTTACTTGAAGCATCTTGTCATTTGCTAACCGTACCTTTCCAAAATCTCCTTTTTTTAGATTCACCATCGTTTCCCCGTTGTCCATGGCGTGAAACGAAGCCCCTGAATCCATGACCCAAGAGTCCACAGAACTTTCCATATTGAGTATCAGTGCATCATCCTCAGACACACTCTCAGCACCAGCAATGTTTAATTCTTTCTTTGGACATTGACTCTTAACATGTCCCACCTCTTGGCAGTTCCAGCATTTCACATTCTTCAAAGTTCTAGAAGAACTTTTTCCCCGACTCCCACTGCTCCTGCTATTCTCTCTACCTCTTCCGACATTTAATAAATCAGAAGAAGAAGATCCACCTTGATTCTTACGTCTGATATCTTCGCCAAGAACCAAATCTCTAACCCCTTCAAAAGTCATACCACTGGTCCCCACGGAACTCGTAACAGCAGTAACTGTTCCGGACCAGCTATCAGGTAGAGAAGCTAGTAGCATTGATGCTTGAGTCTCGTTATCAAATTTAATTCCCACAGATGATAATCTGGACAGAATTGAATTTAGATTGTTAATGTGAACCGTAACTGAGCCTTCCTCATTCATCCTTGTAGTGAACAACTCCTTCATCAAGAACACCTTGTTAGTCGCCGATGGTTTCTCATACATATTTGACAAAGCCTCTATCATACCACGCGCCGTGGTTTCATTCATGATGTTGAAAGCAACGCTCTTCGTCAACGACAATGTAATAACCGCCTTGGCTTTCTTGTCCTTTGAGTTCCACGCATCTTCAAAAGCTTTTTCCATTTTCTCCGGTTTGTCTCCGAGTACCATGTCCAAGTCTTTCTGACATAGCAATGCTTCTAATTGCATTTTCCACCAGCTAAAATCAGAACCGTTGAACTTTTCGATTACAACCTTGTCTTCAGCCATTACGACAAACAAGATACAAATCAGGTACACTCGTGCGTGATAAAAAAAATGATTGTACCCTCCAAACCTCGCTAATCTGGCTCTGATACCAGTTGTTAGGAACCGGACCGGATACACGCAGCGGAAACACACTATCACACACACACAAACTCACGAAAATAAAGCAAGAAGAACACAAGGATTTTACGTGGTTCGGATTCGGTGCAAATCCTACGTCCACGGGCTGCAACTAGAGAATTTTATTAAAACTCACAAGATTACAATTGGCTTGACACTCTACACTTGATGTTCTCTCAAGTTTTTGCACACCAAATATGCAAAACATACATGCATATATATAGGTGAATGTTTGCCATGTGAAAACAGAAAGAGTTGTAACCAATTTAAAGTCTACCAACTTCAAGTTTGAACATGTTGAATGCACCACTTATTTTCCAACTTTCAGTTTGAATTTGATTCTTTTATTTCACATGCATAGCCACATGTTTTCAACCTTTCATATTTTACCTAACAACCCCAAAAGCGGCGTAGCCGCGGATTCTTTACTAGTTGTACATAAAAATTAAAAGGAGAGAAAGAAATCTTCAAGTTAGCAAAAACCACAGAGAGAATATAAAGGGACCTAGGAAACATATTATTCATTAAGGATGACATTGGTCGAGTTTTTGTGAAAGATTAGGATCGGGTTCAGCTTAACTAGGGAAAAAAATTCATTAATGGAAGGAAATGAAAGAATCTCCTTTCCAATTGAGAAGGATTTAGAGAGTAATTTTTCTTTCATTTCTTTTGAAATCAGGAACACAAAATACAACTTTTTTGCACTTTCATTTCTCTCCTTACTTTCTTTCCCTTTCCTTAGTTATTTTATTTAACAAGGCTAGAACGTTGAGGGCTCTAAAAAGAGTTATCAGATGTTGATGCTTAAAGCAGTAAGTAGGCTTTGAGGGTGAATCGAATTCTTATTATTGTATACTTGTGCCTTGCGGAAAATGGAGTTTGATGGCTGTCGCCTGTCAATTTAACACTATCGTAGAGAGTGTGGACGTACAATAATCAAGTATATGCTGAAATCCATAAGGGTATTAATAAGCTACTTGGCTTATATATATACTATAGAACTATTTGAAAGAATGTTAAGAGGCTAGGGGTGCTATAAAGGAGATGCTGAAATCTGTAGGGGTATTAAGCTATTTAACTATACTAGGGAACTATGGGAAAGAATGTATTACATCTGTGTTGGAAAATCAATTTGACTTGATGACAAGATAAAGGAGAAATATAAAGAAACAAGTATTGATCTACATATGGTGTTTGTCAACCTTAAGAAGACACATGATAATCAGATAATGTGCATCTGGAGATGATTTAGAGCTATTCACAATATCTACTACCTGTAACAACAAGATTCAAAGGTTCCCTGGTGTATGCTTTTGTCAATGACATTGTTGTGGTTGTTGAGATTAAGTATGAGTTGAATGATAAGGCATATATCGGGAGGATGAATTTGGAAGAAAATGGTTAAAAATCAATACGATGAAGACGAAAATATTTTCTGTGCAATTTCAGTAGGGTGTGTGGTGTGAGGAACAATCCTACACCCAAAAGAGAGTTTCAAGTACTTGATCAATGATCCATAAGGAGGGAGGTGTTGAGGTAGACATTACACACCACATTAGATGTTTACCAATTGTACGAATCCAAGGCTCCATTTGAAACTACTAGACAATCATATTTCATTTAAAAACACTTTAAAAAGAGTAATATTTACAAACAAGACACCACAAAATTTAGAGGACATGGCGTCTTTTCTTTTCTTTTTCCCAACTCTCAGTGTTTAATTTAATTAAATAGCTTCCAGTTTACCCCAAAAGACTCGCCCTTCTTGTCACACACCATTCCACCCCCAATGCTGAAAAACTTCACTTCCATCTCTGAAAAACTTTATTCTTTTAATCACCAAACTAATTCCAACCAATAATTTATATATGTAAAAAGGAGAATAACTATACTTAGCACTTACATTTACATCCTTCACATGAAACCACCATAGCCCTTTGACTTCTTTCTGGTGCGTTGACCAGGTTGACTATTCGTTTGGTTTTGTCGACTGATCATCTTTCAATCCTTTCGTAAGCAAATCATAATTGATCGAAGCAAGTTGAGACAGATTCTGTAGCAACACAACAAAATATATATATATATATATATATATATATATATATATATATATAATGGTTAAGTGGTCAGATCAATAAAAAAACAACGAAATTGTCCTTTTATGTACCTTAAAGGAGAAATTACTGAAAGAGTAGTTGACACAAGATTGTGATCCAACTTCTGCAGGACCTCCATACTCATCAACCTGCTGACACATGGCAGTGGCACCACATTAATAAAAAAATCACAAGCAAAAATGGCAGATTTTATTTTTGAGAATTAACAGAGTTACTGACAATTTCATCATAGCGATTACTTAGGCAACTACTGCCACCACTGATGCTGCCATTGTCACTGGAATTTTCTGTTTCACTGGCGACATATCCATGCTCCTCTGAGGTGTTCCACATGTATCGGCTTGTGAAATAACTGGTGTCTAGTGCACTCTCAAATGAAGGAATAAATGCAGCCTGAATTATAAAACCAATCTCAGTACAAAGACAATTCACATGTATATACAAAACACACACACACACACACCTTTTGTAGTGCGAGTGTATGCCAGTTGATATCCCTGAAAAACTGATGCTGTTTCACCTCGGTTGCTCCCTTAGCTCCAAGTCTCTGGTTTGGATCTTCTGTCAATAATCTGCATACAGGAATGAGAAGAAATAAGTGAGGTGTTTCTTTCTTTTTGACTTAAAAAAGATATTAGGAAGTTTCTCTTACTGATCAATTAGATCCTGGGCATCCGGGCTCATTTCATCAGGTACCACTGGCCAAGGTATATTACGGTTGAGAATGTTATCAAATATCGTCTGAACCAAAAAAAGAAAATATAAATAAATAAACAATATCAGAGTATAATCGAGAAAGGTAAAAAAAAAAAAATCAAATAAACCTGAGGATGTTCTGCATTGAAAGGAGGAATGCCAACAATTAGTTCAAAAAGTATCACACCAACTGACCACCAATCCGCAGATGTACCTAAAAAAGATGGAAATAAAATTTTGTTACATGGGGTTGTTAAAAATATAATATTTTTATTTTAGAACAAACCATGTCCAGTTCCCAAAAGAATCTCGGGTGCTAAATAGTCAGGGGTCCCCACAGCAGACCGTTTTTTACGCCTTTCTTGTTGACTTTCACTTTCAGATAAAAAAGATGATTGAGATTCATGTTCTCCTTCTCCTAATAATGATGTCCCACTAACTGCTGGACCAGATAAGTCGTCTGTACTATTAATTAAACCAACTTTCGAGAGCCCAAAATCAGTCAACTGTAAAAGATAAATAACAATTAGAGCATAAATTGTAAAAAACAAATTAGAATATATTAAAACTCCTATATTATATTTATACCTTTATATGCCCATCATGTGCAATCAACAAATTATCTGGTTTTAGGTCACGATGAACAACACGTAACGAATGAAGATATTCCAACGCAAGCACCTGTTCAATTTATAAAACGTCATTCATATATATAAATTATATCAATAATTGTGGGTCCCACAAAATCAAAAAACTTACCACTTCTGCAATATATACACGAGCAACATCTTCATCTAAGCATCCCAGATTTCTCAACAATGAATACAAATCACCTCCATTTAAATACTCCATAACAAGGTAAAGATTCTCACGACATGTGAAAGAATAGAAAAAACGAACCACAAAAGGGTTGCGAACTGATATCAAAATATCACGTTCAGCCAATATACTTTCAACAGCATTTTTTCGAATCATGTCTGCTTTTTTAAGAACTTTGATAGCAAAAAGATCCCCTGTTGTTCTCTTTTTGGCTAAAAAAACACGCCCAAATGCACCACGACTAATCGGTTTTATGATCTCAAAATCATCGATTGAGGTCCGATCTTTTGAATGTATAGGGCTTGTTCTAAGGCTGCGTACAACATCATCTTCTAATGGAGCATCTTCATCGATTACAGTACTTGTGATGTCAACTTTTTCATCATCAACCAACTCAAACAACTGCAAATACTTTTCCCTAATAAGCTTCTCTATTCTTGCTCCAAATGTTTCCACTGTTAAAGCATCAAACTTTCTTCTGTCAGTAACAACTTTTAAATCTTCAAGACACGTCAGCAAATATGGCAGAGAGCGGGAATCATCTAAGGGTGTATTTCCAGCACATCTGGCAATATCAGCAAGCTCATTCATCTACATCATTCAAAAAGAAATTATTAGTAATCAGTGAGAAAGCAAAAGATTGAAATTAATCAATTATACAATTATACATTTATACCTGTGGAAGATCAGCATTTTCTGAATAAGCACCTTTTCCTGCTAACAACAAGTCTATCTGGCTAGTCCTAGGTGTCAACAATGGTGACCTAGGAGTAATGCTCCCAGCAGATGATGTGGCCATTTGATCAGATATAGGCCCTAAACGTGTTCTATATGGTACTATAGAATGCATCCCTTTCATGTCATCCATTAAAACCGAATTATCACCTTCTGGAAAACAATCAATCATGTCTTCTGAACCTCTTCTAGACCAATCATTTGGAGACACAAGCTCAGATTCTTCAGAATTTGATACTTTTGCACCTTCAGAAAGCGACTCCATTAGCTTCTCAAGAGTTTCAGAAATTCTTACTAACCTTTCATCAACACGAAGACCTTTTTGATCACATCGATCCGCAATCGCACAGATTCTAGAATGATCTTCTAATTGTAAAGTAGGAACTTCTTCCTCACAAATCCTACAAATTATAGAACTTTCATCAAATATATTCGATTGTTCACCCCACCCCCATGAAGCTTTATGTTGATGCTTATAAGTAGTGGTTGCAGGTTGTATCTGAAGATCTTTCACCGGAGCAAGAGCAGCTTCTTTCACCGGAGCAACTTCAGTCACCAGAGCTTTTCCTCCGGGAGATGGCAGTTTCTTCCATGATGACATACGGTTTCTGCTTGTTGGAGAGTCTAAACCTTTAACTATTTCTACAGGAGGTGGAGCTTGTTCTTTTTTCCAATCCATGTTATGTAGCCCACGTTGTTCCTGACTGTAATATTGTCTTGTTTTTGATGTTTTTGATGTTCTTGGAATTGAAATGTCATCTTTTTTTATAGTTGTGGGGATGTTTTTATCTGCAGAATGAAGAGATTTTCGAAGCTGAAGAACAAGTTCATCTTCAGCTAATCCACTTTCTTTATGAAACTGTAGCAATCTTGTACATCTTGTGAGAATGAAAAGCATACGAGTATGAAGCTTTTTCAAGATTCCCATTGGAAGTTCTTGACGCCTGTCATCTAATTCCTGAACAATTCCCTCACATTGTAGCAAAAACTCTCCAGGGGTAGTCATGGCACATCTTTGAGCTAAAACCAGTAAGTCCTCTAAAGTTTCCTGCCATTCTGGATGAGTTTCTGAGTTCTTTTCAAGAATGGGAAGAAGATCTGCTGCAAATATATGAAGATCTGAATCTACTTCTTCTTTTGCTTTATCGAATTTCGCGCGTATTGTTACTAAAACTTCATCTAAGTTGTTTAAACCACGGGGTTTCCAATAAGGGTAAGGGCGTACGCCTTTGGAGTTTAGTTCATGGGAGAAACTTTTGATGTCAGATGGATATCGCTTTCTAGGTGCACTTGTAACCCTTAGTATGGCTTGAAAACGGGGTGACTCAGATTCTTTTGGGTTTTCAGAATCATAGGAAGTCTACAACGGCAGAATAAGTAGTTTTTCAATTACAAAAAAAAGAAAAAGAAAAAGAAAAAAAAAATAGTTTGCTAGAACTAGCAGTATAAAATACCTTCATTTCTGGAGTACAAAGCTCTGAAGTCCTCAAGCCTCCAGAGAATCCCCTTAAATTTACATGGCCTATCATGGTAGTTGAGTAACTTGAGATATATTTAATTATTGCTTAAAAAAGTACATGGGAATGTGATGGAATAATGATGAATGCATGATTAATTTCATGAGTACATGACTTAAGTTTAAGGTCATGGACTCAAGATTTATGAGTTCTCCAGTTAAGAACTAAAAGAGGATAAAGTGAATTGCTTTGCATGTTAGTCAATGTTAAGATAAAGTACATGGCTAACAAGTATGTGAAGATGAAATCAAATTATTAAAATATAGTGTTATGTTAATGAAGGAAGTATTAAAATGTATGGTGAAATGAAATGTATTGGGTATTTAGCAACTAATGTGAAGTAAGTAGTAGTGTATCATGATTGTCAAGAATAAACTACATAAATGGCACATATATGAAAGTATGCTGTTATAATTGAAGGTTGGATGCCTAAAATATAAAAGTTGAAAACTATTTTGATGGGAATTGTCAAGATAGATGAAGAATGATGAAACAAATAGTGCAGAAATAATTTCTGAATCCAGCAGACAGTATATAACAGTATATCCATAATTATAATTATATCTAAGATATTCTTATGATACATTTATTACTGGACATGGATTAAGTGGTGTCACATGGGCAATAGGACCCAATTTGGGCAGCATATATCTTCAAATCAATCTAGATGTGGTATCTTTCTAGAAATTTCATCTTAATGAGCATGGATGAAAGCAGTGTCACATGAGTGGTTGGGCCAAATTATGTGAATGGCGCCTTGTAGTCATCTTTAAAAGACCTAAAAGTTTGAGGGGTCAACATCTTTTAGTCCACGGCTACTGTTCTTATACCTAACATTATGCAACTCTAATCTCCATATTGCATATGGTATTGGGAAATGTTAGAAGGAAGAACATTCAACTCTAAAATCAGCAATTTCGTGAAACATAGATATAACATTATATAAGAAATGCGATGCCTAATGAGAAACATCAAGAAAATTCTTAAAGAAATCATACCAGCTTCAGAGGAAGATTCCCCATTTTGCAATCGAGAACGACCTAAAACATTAGGAGTATGATCCCTTGAAGGTAGGCTTTCAATGGACATGCGGTCTGAATTGCTACCATCGTCGTTCTCCATAGAACTAGACATCTTTTTCTTATCAGTACCAAATCCATCCTCGAAATTACCACCATCATTGTTCTTTGATTTTGAAAGATTACTAGAACCAAGTGAAGACATTTTACTATTAACTTTGTTTTTGTTATCATTACTATTACCATCTCTACCAAACCCAAAAAAGCTCTCTTGTGGCAAAGGCCCAGATCTCGTCTTGATCCGATTTAGCCCAAGTGAAGAAGCCAGAATTGGGGAAACTGTAGCAGGACCTTCCGCCGCCCCTTTCTTCGTCAACTTCGATGACCCTGATCCCAAACTCGGTTTTTCTGTAATAGGAGTCGTATTCTGAACCTTCGATTCAACTCCTTGAAGACCATCTTTCTTACTCCGACTCTGATGCTTTGAATTCGAAGTGGAACTGGAATTGGAACCATCTTTGACTTGATTTTGACGCAATGAAGCGCTGATCGGCGTTTGAGGTTCGTCTTTGCTAGCGGACTTAGCTTTCTTTTTGTCGGATTTGATGGGTGAACTGGAATTAGACCCTATTGATCGAGGGCTGTTGGATCCCTCGGGGCTTGATATATCGGATGATTTCTTTGAATGGAAGAATCTACCCTTAAACACCATTGTAGCATATCATTAGGGTTTTGTTTAAAGATCTGCAAGCATAGTAGTAGCGTTGATTCTGGGGCGTGTGGTAGGAGAGAAATGCACTCGACAAGAAGCAGAAAGAGAAGTGAGAAAGAGGGGTGGATAGCCTACCACCTCCTTTTACTTCCAGAAATTAGCGGTTTTGAGTTTTGACTTTCAACCATGGCAATGACGACTTTTATACTGTGATTCTAGAAGGAAAAAAAACGTATTTATTTCTTGTTATCTTAAAAGAATGTACTTTGTATTCACATGTTATTATTCTTTCCTCCATATTTTAAGGTTCTCCTCATATTTTTATAAAAATATCTCGACTCGGAGATCGCGACTAGTATTCATTTGGTCATCACAATTCATATCCCTATTTTCTTATAAAGATATTTGTAAATGAGATGGTCATCATGACCTCATCTTTTTCATCCCTTTTTACTCGTAAAGATTTTCTAAAACGGAATATGCATCGGACATGGATCATGATGTGTGTCCTTCTTGTTTATATTCGTGCCTAATTTCTTTATACAAGATTCTTGTAAATGTAGTGGATATGAGATGGAGATCATGACATGTATCCATCTATCCAAGCCACCACATTTGTACTTGATTTTCCATAGAGATTCTTGAGAATGTGATACATATAACACATGGATCGTGAACTTGGTCCTTCATGGCATTATATGTTAGCAAAGAACCAGGGGAGAAAAGGATATTATGATAATCAATGTTCACAAGAATAAGTGTAGATAATGTTAAGTTATGTTAAGTTTACTTTCTTCTATCATTATTTTGATTGTATGTCTGGTTTTTTAAACTCCGATTTAGGATAATCCACAAGATAACAGTTTGAGTTCTGAGGATGTATCTTTTAGAAGTTCACAAGACAAATTTTACCTTAGTCAAAATATTTCCCCCTTATATAGAGAAATCCATCATAAGGAGCATCATCGGTTAACCTCCTCTAATTACATACAAGTACGTATTCCACACTATTTAACGTGTATCGTATCACACAGTTTTAATCCCTTGCCACCAATATAAATTTCAACCGGTGAGTGAGCCCATGGTGAACCACGGGTCACTTTTTTAATTAGTTTTTTTTTCCCATATATTTGAAATTCTAATCTAAGTAGGACAGTTAATAAAACTAATTTTAGAAGTTCACAAGACAAATTTTACCTTAGTCAAAATACTTCTCCCTTATATAGAGAAATCCATCATAAGGAGCATCATCGGTTAACTTCCTCTAATTACATACAAGTACGTATTCCACACTATTTAACGTGTATCGTATCATACAGTTTTAATCCCTTGCCACCAGTATAAATTTCAACCGGTGAGTGAGCCCATGGTGAACCACGGGTCACTTTTTTAATTAGTTTTTTTCCCATATATTTGAAATTCTAATCTAAGTAGGACAGTTAATAAAAGTGTTCATGTATGTTGGCCTTGTGGGATTGTTTGGAGGAACTGGTTTTTTATCGTGTATCCTTCCACGATTTTCGCCTGAACTGCTTCCAATGTCCAAAATATTATTGAGGAGACAAATGAGAGCTGTTGAGCATCTACGAATTTGGTAAATTGTTGTGTATTGTCTGTTTGTTAGACATTCATCAAATGTAACATTTAAAGGTAAGTTGGAATTGATTGACACTATCAAGTCTGCATAAAAACACACAATTAGAAGTCTATGGTTCCAGTCTACTCCGGTCAGTCAAAATGAAATTGAACCATACACCATAGGGAAGAAAAACAAAATGACACATTTACTAACCACTATAAACAGATTGGGACATATTCCCTTAAAACCCTTAAGTAAAAGTATAATGGTCAGCGTTATATCTAAATGATGTAACTAAAACAGAAAACATATTAAAAATTGAACCGATAAAGGTATAAAAAAGTAAAATCATTAAAAATATAACTTATTTGGTGTTTTACCCGGGTTGTAAATTCCAAACTGAAAAGGGGGCTCCCTTATCCAACTTCTGAAAGAGAAAGGGACAAAAGTTAAAAACAAACGTAAATAGAAAGTCAAAATCGAATAAAAAAATATATGTTTTAACTTCTGAAATATAAATAAAACTCAACTGGTAAAACATTCATCATACCTACATAAACTGATATCCATACATATCAAGTGATGAGTTAAGTTCATCATCAAGTGACTCCGCAAGAGCTTCATCAATTCCAAATGAATCGAAATTGATACCAATAACCATCACATGTCACAAAATGTAGAAGCTCGTTCCTATAATTTGATACAATTAAACGAAAAAAAGTATTTAAAGTATTTGACTTCTAGTGAATGAAATATTTCACCTTTAAGATGCTAAAAGATAGCAAGTTTGATCTGTATCATATCACCAATTTATCCAGCTATCAATCTCCAAACTGCACCTCCACCTGGAGTAAAACTCTAGAATACTAACATTCAATTCCAGGTATGTTCTTATTTGGTCCTTTAAGTTGACAATATTTGCGAAAATGGTCCCTCGTATGTTGGGCGTACATTTGGTACGCTTAGCGTACATACATGGTTGGAGACGGGGGACTTAACCACATACGTTGGGCGTACGTGGTGTATGCGGGGCGTACGACAGCCAAGACCAAACCCTAATTTTTAGGGCATGAACCCTATTTAAACAACATTATGGCCTTTGGACACTCACTCCCATCATCATCTACTGTTCATTCGTCCCATTAAAACCCTAGTTCACCCCCCCCCCCCTTTAGTGTTCTTGAGCTTTGAAGTGATTTTTGTGGCATTTTAGTATGTGTTCAAGAAGAGGAACTTGGTGACCAAGCATTTGTTGATGTTGAGCTTCTAGATCCAGATTATTCATCAATTTTGGAAGCTTTTGAAGGTAAAAATTTCTTACATTGATGATTTATTTTGATAATTAAAGTTTAGGGCTTGTTTAGGAGTTTATTTTGGTCTCATGGGTTATTTTGTGAGTTTGTGCAACTCCAGAAGTTAGGGGTGTTAGATCTCAGTCCCTTTGATGTTTTAAATGCATAAAAATGTAATCTTGGTAGTTGATATGAGTCCATGAATGAATTTAGGTCCTTAATATGATCTTTGTTGGACAAAAATGGATGTTGGGTTCCATTAAGACATGCTAATGCATAACGTTGCCAGCTTTATGTCTTAGAACCCTATAATGGTCGAGATCTGAAAGTTGGATCGAGTGGTTGAAAGGATTAAGCACTTAATGGCTTAAGGTGGCAAGCAGTTTAGTACATTGAGCGTACCAAGGGGGTATGCAACGCGTACTGCCACACAATCGAGTACGTCGAGCATACAGCGCGTACGCCGAGCTTACACCTCTCAGTAGACTTTTGGACTTCGATTGGGCCTTGGACCTTTGGGCCTTAGTTAGTTTTTGGACTTTGGCATGTTTGGAGTAGGTAGGCCTCAAAATTCTATTAGTGGGCCTTAAGTTGTATGGTTTGGTCCTTGGGGCCCATTATTGTGTTTTGGGCCAAGTTTGGTTAGGCCCATTATGGGAAGGGTAGAATGGGATTTTATCTTGGGAGTCTGGATTTGGGATTTAGGCCCACGGTTATGGTTTATAACCTATTTTCTGATTAGAGTAATTTGTGGATGTTTAGTGTGGGATCTTCCGGTTCGGTAGCCAAGCACTTAGTTATTTATCAGCAGACTGAGGTGAGTTTTCTCACTATATCAATGGGTCGAAGGCACCAAGGTCGGCCCATTATTTGTGATGCATAATGCTAGTCATAATTATGATATGTGTATGAAAGACCAAGATTTAGCCCTTGACATTTGTATGAAAGACCAAGATGTGGCCCCTGACATTTGTATGAAAGACCAGGGTCTGGCCCCTGGCAACTGTAAGGAAGACCGGGATTTGGCCCTCGGCAGGGAATTACTTGTAAGACTATGGTTTGGCTCATAGCACTAATTTATTTATGTTTAGTATTTGGTACTTGAGGAAACTCACTAAACTTTTGCTTAAAGTTTGTATTTATGTTTTTAGGTACTTCCGGTACTAAGGGGAAGGGCCCGACGTGATGGCACAACATTCTCCCCTCACTATTTTCCGCACTTATTGATATTTTTACTCTGATGATTTGAAATTGTTATTATGTAATGTTTTTGGAACAATTTAATGACGCTAACTCTTGTTTAAAAATGAAAAATTTTATCTTGGTTTTTGGGCTGTTACATGTTGCTACGTGGCTTTCCTGGTGTGTTGGTAGATATCCTCCTGGGACTTCTTGTAATGAGCATCCATGAAATCATATTGCATAGAATATACAATTGCTAGGTTATAAAGCTATACTCAGGGATGGACCCCGATATTGCTCTCTGATGCCTAAGTTAGACGTCAGATAAGTAAATTGCTAAGAATTGCTTATTGTTCCATTCATAACGTACCTTGGTGCCATGTCTCTGAAGGTATTTATAGGCTTCCTTATAATTTAGGGTATAAGGTTTTACCAGGTCTTTCCTTATTACCTGGATAAAAGGAAGCTACCTCATATGTATCGTTTTCTTATTTTATTGCTTCTGATATTGTCTTTGCGTGAATCCAAAGATATGTTACCTTTTATTTGTTGTGCTCTGGTATTATCCTGTGAGTCTGATTTTGATCGGATGTATTTTGTTAATATATAGGTTAGGATACGGTTGGATGGGTTCAGATAAACTTATGATGGGTTATACTTGTGTCTGGTAAGCTTTTCAGACCGTCCTGGTGGATCTAGGTCGTAATGGGCTTAATTGATTAACCAGCCCGGGTACACCATTACATACCTTTACTCATTTTTCCTTTAAGACTTTGATGTAGTATTTCCTCTACATATTAGCTTCATATCATGCAAAATAACTTCAACAACAACTATTTTAGGCTTTTAGCCCGAATACATGACACGACGGAAAGATTATATCCTTTCTTCTCTCTTGGTCCTCTTAATTTGCAATCTATCAAACTGAATATAAAAAAACATTAGATTTTGATCATCATAAAAGAAAAAATTGCACCAGGTCCCTTCCTTTTCAACTCATACGTGTAATCTCTTATGGAAATGGGTACTATACAACTCCCCTTCTTCCCTCTGCTACGTTTTTTATAGGTTTGACCTTGGTTGCAAGTGGAAAATTGTGAATAACATATAC